GAGGTGCTGTGGGGTAAGGGGGTGGAGGTGCGTGAGTGTGTGTGATCAGACAGGGGTGTGGATGGGAAGTGAGGTGGGTTGAAGGTGAGGTGTGTGATTAGGTAGGGTGTCAGGGGGAGAGTAAAGGGAAGGGGGTGCATTGAAAAATTAAAGGGGGGGGCATATCAGAGACTGTTAAGTAGAAGGTGATGTGAGGAGAGTGAAGGATGAATAAGAGTATCAGGCCTCAAAATGTAGAGTATAAGTAAGAGAGAGTGACTGAAGGTGGTAGTAGTAATAATAGTGAGCATGTAAGGGAGGAGGAGGAGGAGGAGGAGGGAGGAGGAGGAGGAGGAGGAGGAGGAGGAGGAGGAGGAGGAGGAGGAGAGTAGGAGGAGGAGGGGGAGGAGGAGGGAGGAGGAGGAGGAGGGGGCAGGAGGAGGAGGAGGGGGAGGGGGAGGAGGGAGGAAGGGAGGAGGAGGAGGAGGAGAAAGGTGGGGAAGAAAGAGTATTAATAGAGAAGGAATACATAATAACAATCATAAATTAAGAAGAGACCAAACACCACAGAAAGAGAATAAGAGGAACGAGAAGAGGAAGTGATCAGTGCCTCTTTAGAATCACCATAGGTCCTGTAGTAAATCATAAATTAAGAAGAGACCAAACACCACAGAAAGAGAATAAGAGGAACGAGAAGAGGAAGTGATCAGTGCCTCTTTAGAATCACCATAGGTCCTGTAGTAGTGGTGAGAAAGTAGGAGTGCCAGTGCCAAGGAGTGCCAACAATAGGGAGGTGGGAGGTAGGAGAGAGAGAGGTAGGAGGGAGGGGTAGGAGGGAGGAGGGGAGAGGGAGAGAGAGGGGTACTAGGTGGGTAGGTGTGGCATAGGGCCAGTAATACCCAGCTGATCTAACCAACCCAACTGCCTTGTCTTGCAGAATCATGTGACCACAGTAGAGCCATTCAAGAAAAAAATTATCTCTCTCTCTCTCTCTCTCTCTCTCTCTCTCTCTCTCTCTCTCTCTCTCTCTCTCTCTCTCTCAGGAATTTGACTTGGTTATTATTATCTCCGTAAATATAAATTAGGTGAGGTTCGGTTACGTTGGGTTGGGGAGGTTTAGGTTAGGCTAGGGTGGCAAATCTTCAGGTGAAAAATAAACAAGGATGGAGATTCTTCAGTTAAACCCCCTACAAAAAAAAAAAAACACTAAACCACCAAACCCAACCAAGCTCCACCCAACCCACATCTACACACCAAGTTTGATCCGAATCCACAAACATCCACTCAAGATATCGCGAGGACAAACAGACAGAGGGCCTCGCATTCATTCCCGAGTTCCATCCCGGCAGGCAGGGTCGAGTTAATACCCTCATAATGTATTGTTTATCTGATGGAGGTAACATTCCCTTACCTGTATCTGATACACCTGTCGCTATTATTTAATTAGTTTTGACTCACCTGTTTGAATATACTGGGGAGTTGTGCGATGGTGATTGTTGTTATTGTTATTTGTTGTTGTTATTATTAAGGGGTAAAGCAACCTCCTGACATAGTTGAGAGAGAGAGAGAGAGGAAATTTTGTCAGTTGTGCTCTCTCTCTCTCCATCTTTTCTCTAATCCTCTCTCTCTCTCTCTCTCTCTCTCTCTCTCTCTCTCTCTCTCTCTCTCTCTCTCTCACCTGTCAGCCACACCTCTTCGTTTCAGCTGTTGGGAGTTCCTTGGCCCGGCCCCTTCCTGACCCCCCCCCCTTCAGCTGGTAGTGATGGTGGCTTAAAGCGGCTTAGAACCTGGCTTTGTCTCCATCTACAGCTGGCTTGGTTTAACATTTAAAGCTGGCTTGATTACGTGCCTGGCTTAGTCTACTAGCTGGGCTTGGCTTGATATCTACCCTTCCTCCCCCTTTAATATCTCTCTAGGTGGAAGGAGGGAGGGGAGGGTGGGGTGGGTGAGGCGGGGGGGAGGAGAGGACGAAGGGAGGGAAGAGAGAAGGGAGAGAAGGAAGGAAGGGAAGGAAGAAGGGAGGGAGGTCAATGGCCCTTTACTATACAAATGATCGAAATTCTCAATATTATTTTCTTAACCTAACCAAACCAAACCTCACCTCACCAAACACAAGCAATTATTACAAAGGCACTGAGACGAAACATTAATAAATATAAGCGATTTTATGAAGCTGTGTGTGTGTATTGCAAGCTGTGCAATATTGATGACACGAGTTGGTAGCAGCAAAGTGATCTGAAACACTGATATTATGTTGTGAGAAAAGGAAGAGGAAGAAGAAAAAGGAGGAGGAGGAGGAGGAGGAGGAGGAGGAGGAGGAGGAGGAGGAGGAGGAGGAGGAGGAGGCGACAAGGAGGAAGAAGACAAGGGTGATGAATGAGAACACGATAATGAAGAAGACGAAGCTAGCGGGTAGGGGGGGGCATACAGGTGAGATGACTCAGTACAGGTGTTGAGAGAGAGACGTGTCAACAGGTGTAATACGGAGATAAACAACAAACGTAACAAAACGTAAACAGATCGAGAGCAAGACATAAACAAACACGTCTTAGAAACAGCTGCTTAGAAACGTTTGACTAACCCTAAACGTTTGACTGACTTCCTAAACGTTTGACTAACCCTAAACGTTTGACTGACTTCCTAAACGTTTGACTGACCCAAAAGTTTGACTGACCCTGAACGTTTGACTGACCCTAAACGTTCCCAAGAGCAAACGTTAAGAGAGCTAATTATACCTTTAAATATATGTTTAATCTCAGATGGGGGTCGAATAGTTCCCAAAATAGAATCACGTGTTGTACCTCACGCCCATGCCAAACCTCACGTGACCCCCCACAGCCGCCCACCCCACCCAGCGCCGCCTCCCCCCCCCCCTTTAAAGACCACGAGATCACCCCCCATCTTAATCTAGCTACTAACCCTTCTTTCACCCCCTCACCATAGCGTCAATCTACCCCCCTCCTCCCCACCCACCCCTCTCACTAAACCCTCACAAAATAAAGCAAACCCTCCCTACCTCCCTCACGCCTCCTTCCTCCCCTCTCACCCTTCCATCACTACCCCTCCTCCTTCCACCACACAACAACACCCCCTCCCCCACTCCACCCCCACTCACACAACACCCCCCTTCTCACCTCCACAACACCCCTTCCCCTAGTCCCACACAATGCATCATACACCCTTCACCCCTCCCCCCAGCAGCAACACCACCACAGGCCCAGGACGTGATCAGGTGACTCTAACAGTCTGAAGATCCCCCTTTCCCCATTCCTCCCTCCCCTTCCCTCTTTCCCCATTCCTCCCTCCTTCCTCTTTCCCCTCCTCCTCCTTCCTCTTTCCTCCATTCCTCCCTCCTTCCCTCTTTCCCCCATTCTCCCTCCCCTTCTTTCCCCCATTCCTCTCTCCCCTCCACTCCTTCCTCCCCTCCATTCCCTCCCTTCCTCTTTCATCCACCCCTTTCTCCCCTTTCCTCCATTACTTCCTTTCCTGTACTCCCTACCTCCTTTCTTTCCACTCTCTTCCTCATTTTCTCCATTCCTTTCCTACCTTTCTCCCTATTCCATTTCACCCCTCCCTCTCTCCCTTCCACAAACCTTACCTACTGACTACCAACATATTAACCCATACAAAAAACTCTACACACACACACACACACACACGACTCACCTTAACTTACAAGACATACACCTGTACACACATGACACACCTGTACATACACATGACTCACAATAGCTCAACAACCCAACACACAACCTAACCTTTCTTGACCTGACCTGACCTAAACAATGTAAACAAAGAAACGTAGACAATTCTTCAGGTAACAACAGAGACCATACACAGGTAAACACAAATAAACAATTAACTCACCTGAGATCACCTGTATATGTAAACAAAGGTAAAAAAAACACCCGCTAATTATCTCACCTAACAAACAATTAATTACCTGCACCAATTAAGGGACACAAGACAGGTAAACACAGGTGTACAAAGGCAAATTAATTAACCTGACTCAAGACATTAGTTACCCTCCATCTGTTACACTCAATTTCAAGTCAATTCATCAAGGTTATCTTAAGTGTGTGTGTGTAAGGTGGTCGTGTTTTGATGAAGGGCAAACGGACGGACGGACGTGATGACAGACTGAGGTGACGTAATACACCTGATGGGGAAAAGATAAAAAATTAAAGTGTTCCTACGTGACAGTCTGTGTGTGTTGAAAGGGGGGGGGTCATTTTCAACAGGTAAATTAATTCAGGTGTGTTGAGGAAGGAAGGAAGGAAGGAAGGAAGGAAGGAAGGAAGGAAGGAAGGAGGAGGAAGGACACACACACTGAGTACCAAGACAAGTCAACGCATCATCTGTCAAGCTTGGCACGCAAACCCCTAGCAACCCCCCGCCCCTATCACGGACAGATACGTGACTGTCATCCAAACCTGTATGGATGTTATGACGGGTGTGTGGGTGTATATATAGATGGTTGGTGGGCAGGTGTCTGTCTGTCTATACTGTACTCAATACAACTCGTACTCAATATCAACTTGTACAGATCATCTACCACTAACTACCATCTACTTTATCTACCACTAACTACTATCTACTTTAACTACCATCTACTTTAATTACCACTAACTACCATCTACTTTATCTAACACTAACTACTATCTACTTGTTATCTATTCTAATCAACTGAACCTTAACTGATGTACAACTTGTGGGTTAAAAAGTACATTATTGTACAGCCCGCAAACAGGTGTACTAATTAAATGTTACCTGGTGTGTGTGTGTGTGTGTGTTAAAAAAGTGGGGGGGGGGGCGTGTCCATAGCGTGTTCAATGCCTGCAACTACCCACCCACCCACCACTACCCGCGAGCCATGAGGTAAGTGAGTGCCAACGGGTGCCAAGGTGGAGGAGAGAGAGAGAGAGAGGGGTGAGGGAGGGGAGGGGAGGGAGGAGACACCCCACCACCCCTCCATCTCTAGACCTCCCCAACACACACCTCAGTAGAGCGTGTGACTCTGTCGAAGGTGGACGTCTGCCGCCGCTACCAACCACCCCACAGTGCCTCTCATAGTGCCACAGTGACGAAAACCAATAGAGCCACCTTCCACCACGAGCCACCCACACCCCCCCTACCCCTCCTGTCTCACGTAAACATCTCACAAACTTATGAGGTACCACCGCCAATGGTCCTGTAAGCTGTAGTTCAGATTGAGTGCCTTAAATACTGTTACCAAGTGAGGGACGTAGCAAAGATTAAATCCCAAGTGAGGAGTGGATCTATTTTCTCTCCCGCCCCTCCTTCCCTCACTTCTCTCTGACTCATATAAACGACTCATAAAAAATGCTCATAACTCACCAGCAGACAAGTAACCCTCCTAAGGTGACAATTTTCAAACAGTGCCTTACAGTGAGATAAATTTACATTCACTGTTACTAAGGTCTCGTGTGTCTGTCTTACTCATAAACTCACAAACCCGCTCTCACAATACTCACAAAACTGGTATCTAAGCGACTCGACCAACTGATTGAGGATTATCACTCGAGTCACAGCGATCTAAAGCCGCCATTTGTAGAGAAGCACCTCACTATAGTCTCTACGTTCTACAGCAGCCATATTGCTCAACCCAAATATACCAAGAGGGTCAAACACACACAGATATTTCAGTCAACTAAATCCCAAGAAAACCCGAGAATTTGAACCCATTTAAAACCCAAGAAATCCCAAGAAAACCCGAGAATTTGAACCCATTTAAAACCCAAGAAATACCAAGAAAACCCAAGAATTTGAACCTATTTAAAACTCACGAAAACCCAAGATTTCACCCCATTATCAGGTGTAGAAAATACAGAACTTAATGTACACTTTGAAGGTAAGTGTACAGCAGGGTGTTCATGTGAGTGTAACCTGTGTACTGTACAAAGAAAGGACTTGTACTTACCAACACAAGTACATCTGATTACTGTACTAAAGTGTACTATTTCATACCAAGTGTCTCGATAAGTACAACTGCATCAGTGTCTTGCGAAAATTCTCAAGTGTAAACCTATGTGTACTATAAACTATACAGTACCACGAGTAGAGTAAGTGTATCCCGCGTGGTGAGAGTATACTTAAGTGTATTGGTGCCTAAGTGGATAACAACAACAACGAGACGATCGAACACGGGTATATAGCCAAAGCGGACAGGTGCGACCACAGGTGTTAAGTGAAGCGGACAGGTGCGACCACAGGTGTTAAGTGAAGCGGACAGGTGCGACCACAGGTGTTAAGTGAAGCGGACAGGTGCGACCACAGGTGTTAAGTGAAGCGGACAGGTGCGACCACAGGTGTTAAGTGAAGCGGACAGGTGCGACCACAGGTGTTAAGTGAAGCGGACAGGTGCGACCACAGGTGTTAAGTGAAGCGGACAGGTGCGACCACAGGTGTTAAGTGAAGCGGACAGGTGCGACCACAGGTGTTAAGTGAAGCGGACAGGTGCGACCACAGGTGTTAAGTGAAGCGGACAGGTGCGACCACAGGTGTTAAGTGAAGCGGACAGGTGCGACCACAGGTGTTAAGTGAAGCGGACAGGTGCGACCACAGGTGTTATGAAGGGACAGGTGTGACACCACAGGTGTTAAGTGAAGTGGACAGGTGCAGACCACAGGTGTTAAGTGAAGTGACAGGACTACAGGTGCAGGTGCGACCACAGGTGTTAAGTGAAGCGGACAGGTGCGACCACAGGTGTTAAGTGAAGCGGACAGGTGCGACCACAGGTGTTAAGTGAAGCGGACAGGTGCGACCACAGGTGTTAAGTGAAGCAAAAAGAAGAAGAGGGAAGACAGAAAAAACGAAAAAGGCACGCGCGTGTGTCTGTCTGTGCGTGTGTGTGTGTGTGTGTGTGTGGAGTGTGAGGTCGTAGTGGCGGGGTTCATCACACACTCGAGGATGAAGCAAGAACTTGAAGACTTCCTCACCTTCACCTCGGACTCACCTGAGGACTTGGTGAGAGAAGATGTGATGATTGTCTCCTCCTCTCAGTGTCTGGTAAGTCTATCTCTCACTGTCTCTCACCTCTCACTGTCTCTTTCTCCCTCTCACACACACACACACATACATACATACATACATACATACATACATACATACACATCCATCCAAACAGAACTCACACACACATACCCACCCCTAGACACACCCCACACCGTACCCACACCCCACACCGTACCCACACCGCACACCGTACCCACACCCCACAGAGTAGATTAAGTTAGGGCAGGTCAGATCAGGTTAAGTCATTATAGATTAAGTTAGGTAAGGTTAAGTTAAAGTAGGTTAAGTTAAGTTAGGATAAGTTAAATGAGGTTAAGTTAGGTAAGGTTAAGTTAGGTTAGGTTAGGTAAGGTTAAGTTAGGTTAGGTTAAGTTAAGTTAGGTAAGGTTACGTTAAAGTAGGTTAAGTTAAGTTAGGATAAGTTAAGTTAGGATAAGTTAAGTGAGGTTAGGTTAGGTTAAGTTAGGTTAAGTTAGGCAAGGTTAGGTTAAGTTAGGATAGGTAAGGTTAAGTTCAAGTAGGTTAAGTTAAGTTAGGTTAGGTCAGCTGCATACTCTGCCACAGCCAACCTTACTTGACCGGCCCAGCAAAGGTTAGATTACTGTAGGTTAGGGTAGGTCAGGTGTATAATCTGACCAGCCAAGTTCCCTAAACCAGTTTAAACCTGTGTCTGGAGAGAGAGAGAGAGAGAGAGAGAGAGAGAGAGAGAGTAGTACAGACACCTTACATAAACTACACCTGACCAATACATTATTTCAGTGTGAGGTCCACTCTTGGTCACCCCCCCCCTTTCCTCACTTCTCCCCTTTCTTACCTTCTCCCTCTTTCCCCTCACTCCTTCCCTCACTTCTCTTTCTTCCTCTCCCTCCATCCTTCACCATCTTTCCTTCCTTCACTTCCCTCCTCCTTCCTTCCGCTCTCGTATTTCTTCCTTTCTTCACCTCTCCTCCCTCCCTCACCTCTCCTCCTCCCTCCCTCACCTCTCCTCCTCACCTCTCCTCCCTCCTCACCTCTCCTCCTCTCTCCCCTCAAACAACAACCACCACCACCATGCTATCTCCCCTTTCTCTATTACAGGATCTGATTCCTAAGTTATGACTCGACCTTAAGATTAAATTACCATGACACATTCTCTAAAGTTCCTAAGTTCGGATGCGACACAAAGATGGATTCTCAAAGGTTCCTAAGTTCAAAGATGGATTAAGAATTTAAGTGTACCTGTAAGTGTTAAATGTACCTACATGTATACGGATTAAGTGCACCTGCAAGTATATGGATTAAGTGTACCTGTATGTATTAAATGTACCTGCGTGTACGACATCACTCCGAAATTAATTAGCACGAGAAAATTTTTTAAACGACCCGTTCCATTTTTTCTAACTAAACCTAACCAAACCTAACGTAACCCTAACGTAATATCACCTTACCTAACCCAGTATTATTTAACCTAATCTACCCTAGCCTATCCTAACCTATCCCAATCCATTATCACCTCACCTAACCTTACCCACTATCACCTAACCTAACCCCCAGATAAATTAAGGGTGTCTAATCTTCAGGTGGTTCCCCATTTAGATACAGTTCCTGGCTCGTTACACATCCGTCTGTTGATTAAATCTACGAGGCCTTTACTCTATTGCTCTTATTGTCAGGTGATTGAGGTGATTGAAGTGATTGAGGTGATTTTATAAAACGTGTGTGTGTGTGTGTGTGTTGGCTGACGTCCAAAGAAGGAGTGAGGGGTGGGTGGGTGAGGGAGGGAGGGGTGGGGGAGGAGAGAGAGAGGGGTGGATGGGGTGAGGGAGGGGGAGTGTGAGGAAGAGAAAGATAAAGGAAGGAATGAGGTGAAAAGAAAGGGAAGAAGACGAAGAGGAGGAGGAGGAGGAGGAGGAGGACATAGATGAATAGACATAATAAACACACACACACACACACACACACACACACACGTTGACGGATGCCTTAGTGTGCACATGTGTTGATACCGGTGTCTTGTGCACCTACTGAGAGAGAGAGAGAGAGAGAGAGAGAGAGAGAGAGAGAGAGAGAGAGAGAGAGAGAGAGAGAGAGAGAGAGAGAGAGTTGGACCGTGACTCTGGGAACAGTGCCACATTATTTATAAATACCAGCAAAGTGGAGAGGCACCTATTCCTAAACACACGATCAACTCTGTGACCCAAGACGTGGCACTCTGTTTGACCCTAGCTGGCACTCATGATGGTACAGGTAGTAATTCCGTGACCCCAAGACGTGGCACTATTCTTTGATTGACCTTAAGTGGCACGTATGATGAAAAAGGCGCGGCACTTTTCTTTGATTGACCTTAAGTGGCACTAATGATGAACCAGCTTGTAATTCTGTAACACCAAGGCACTTTTCCCTGGTTGACTTTGATTGGCACTCATGGCACAGGTGGCACTGACTGACCCTGGCGTTACCTAACTTTGACTGGCACTACGAACATGGCCTTGGCACCCAAATACTCTTGTGTGGCACTACTTCAATTTGCACTTTCCTGGCAGTACAGCATCTGACCTTGGGCAATAATTGGCTCTGTGTGTGGCCCTGCTCTCTCATGCTGGGTGATAAAGTGAATCAACCGTGACGCTTCCTGACTGGCACCCTGGCACTATACGAACCTGGTTGCTTGGCACAGAACGAAACGATTTTTTTTTTTTTGGTCAGCTGAGGAGCAGTCTAGCAAACGTCTGTCAGCTGATACACAGATTAGCAAACGTCTGTCAGCTGATACATAGATCAGCAAACGTCTGTCAGCTGATACACAGATCAGCAAACGTTTCTCAGCTGATGAACACCCCAGCAGCCTCTGTGTGTACCGAAAGGCCCAGTAAATGTTTATCTGACAATGGAGACGTCAACAAACGTTTTTCTAATGGCAGTAGGCCCAATAAACGTTCGTCTACTGATAGAAAGCCCCAGAAAACATTTAGCAATTATTGAAAACCCTTTGAACGTTTATCAGTTGTCGAAGTTCCCAGCAAACGTATCCTAGCTGTTAAAAAGGTCATCCAACGTTAATCAGGCGTTAAAGACCCCAACAAACGTTTCCCAGTTGTTTGAAAGACCCCAGCAAACGTTTCCCAGCTGTTAAAACCCCCAGCAAACGTTTCCCAGCTGTTCAAAACCCCAGAAAACGTTTCCCAGCTGTTGAAACCCCCAGCAAACGTTTCCCAGCTACTGTTAGAAAAACGAGCAAACATTCCAGCATTCTCAGTAAGGAAGCGAACGTTCTCTCTCACGCTTCCGCATTGTGTTCCACTCTGTGTGTAAATCCTTCACTGATCTACTCTTAAAAACTCCTGCCAGGTGTTTACTTGAGAACGTTGGCTGAAGTGTTGATTTTAATTACGTTTTTAGGTTTATGTATTGTGGGGGTTGATACAGGTGTTGAGGGTGTTGGTACAGGTGTTGAGGGGGTTGGTACAGGTGTTGAGGGGGTTGGTACAGGTGTTGAGGGGGTTGGTACAGGTGTTGAGGGTGTTGGTACAGATGTTGAGGGAGTTGGTACAGGTGTTGAGGGGGTTGGTACAGGTGTTGAGGGAGTTGGTACAAGTGTTGAGGGTGTTGGTACAGGTGTTGACGGAGTTGGTACAGGTGTGAGGGACGTTATTACAGGTGTTTAAGTTATTACATGTGTCAGTCGCTTGCACTTATACCTGATACAGTTGCTGGGGCATTTTATGAGACGTGACAGCTCTGTGTTTGTTTACATCGTATTAAAACTCACAGAATAGCCTTAGGGAACCTCGTAATAGTTGACACCTGACTAAGGATACTACACAGTTGCCACATCTCACAAAACACACCAGCTAAGTTTTCTGAGATATGGCACCTATGTGATTGTTTACATCATATCAAAACTCATAAAATAGCCCTAAGGATTAAGGAACCTCTTCTACATAGATGCCACATCTCACAAAACGCACCAGCGACTGTACTAGGCACAAATGGAGGAGACTGTACACAAATATCAGTTTTAAATGATTATAGGACGCCCACTATAGCTAATACCCAACAAAACCTGGCACTACCACACAAACAAACACCATCTGGGCATCATTATTCTACCCAGTGTCACAATGCCCTTTAATCAGGTGTTGGGTAAACTTGATGGATGTTCTTGGGTATTATTTTAAAACATTTTACGAGTGTTTAAATGTTTACCCAATACTCTGTTCCTGGCTACACTTGTTGGTTGTTTATAGTCATATTAAATATATTCTAATCTGGTTTATGATGCAACCTTACTATACACACAAATACCAAAGGATTTAATTAAAATATAAGTTACTTATTATTATTACTACTTTTTTGTTACTATTATCATTATTATTGCTATTACTATTGTTGTTATTTTTATTATTATTAGTAGTAGTAGTTTTATTATTTGTTATTTTTTTATTATTATTATTGTTATTATTACTGTTGTTATTTTTATTGTTATTATTGTTGTTATCATTATTATCTACATAACGAACCTCCATTTAACACAGCAAACACCCTCTATATAGCGGACTACCCCTTCAATACAACAAAATCCCTCCTTATAGCGGATCTCTATTAGCCTACCCTCTCAAACAGTACAATCCGGAATACGGGGGTTTCACATTTAACGGACTACCTTCTAATATCGTCCGGTATAAGGTTTCACATTTAACGGACTACCTTCTAATATCGTCCGGTATAAGGTTTCACATTTAACGGACTACCTTCTAATATCGTCCGGTATAAGGTTTCACATTTAACGGACTACCTTCTAATATCGTCCGGTATAAGGCTTCACATTTAACGGACTACCTTCTAATATCGTCCGGTATAAGGTTTCACATTTAACGGACTACCTTCTAATATCGTCCGGTATAAGGCTTCACATTTAACGGACTACCTTCTAATATCGTCCGGTATAAGGTTTCACATTTAACGGACTACTTTCTAATATCGTCCGGTATAAGGTTTCACATTTAACGGACTAC